TGCTGGCGGGCTTTCTTTAGTGCAGCGAGGTGCGGACCTGAGGCTGTTTTGGATGCTTTGCAGAGAGGGCAATTCTGGCTGGGACATTGTACTCCTGGTCCGCTCGCGAGGCAAAGAAGCACCTCCGTCATGCTCGCCGATCCGAGGGTTGAACTCGCGCGAGAGAGCAAGAGGGGCAGGATTGCGCATCTTTGCAGGAAGATGCCGTCGCTGGAGAGGGCTGCTGGCGTGTCGTCCAGTGTCGCTGCTGACGAGGGACGGCCGCCACCCGGAAGCGAATCGAGGTCCGTCTGCTGCTCGTCGCCAGACCAGCCCGACGGCCGAACAGCTGTGCAGAAAGTGAAAGCTCGGTGACGCTGTCTGCTCGGGGACCGTCCCAGCGTGTGCCGCGTTTTTTGTTGCAGCGAGGAGGAGCAAAGTGGCCGCGGGTCCGTTTCGAGGAGGAGATGATAGGTGGACCGCCGCTGTGAGTTCTAACAGGAAGGACCCGCGCGTGACCGCCCAGCTTGAGGTTGGGTCGACCGTACGCGACAGGCAGAATGCACGACCAGTCGGATTGGGCTGCATGCGTGAATCCTGCCAAGTGAGAACGAGTCGGCCACTCCGTTCCGTCATTGTCCGTTTTCCTGCGTGTCGGCGCCAGTGTTGCCGTGAATAGTCTGCTCTCGTGCTCCTCCGCCCGCCCGCTGAGCGCCTCTCGCGAGCGACTCTGTTGACCTGGGATATGTCGAACCTCAATTTGCGCCGTCCTCGTCCGCGTGCCTTTGAGAGCGACCCTGAAAAATGATTGAGGAGTTGTTGGACTCTTTGCTATTGACGTGTAGTCGACGAGTCGATCTCGTCGGGTGAGCTGCATCGGTCGGGCTGTCGTAACGAGGGGAAGCGAGTCGAGGACGAGTCTGCGTACCGACTCGCCGTAGCCTAGCAGTGCAGTCGTCCGGCGGAGCACGACCTGGGCCGGCAGCAAGCTTTTCTGGGTGTCTCGTAAGTTGTCCAGTCAAGGCAGCAGGTCGAGCGGTATGCAAGGTTCCCGAGCCGTCGCCGACTCTGACGAAAAAGCCTCCTCGCCAACTGTTGCTGCTTGGGTCATCTTTTCCCTGAGCTTATTGCAACTGCTACGCTATGCGCGCTTTAATGTGCCCGCCGCTCGCTCGCTCGCACGGTTGCGCCGTCTGGCTACCGCTCGTCTTCATCAGCTGCAGCGACTCGCCCGTCAGCATCTCGGCTCACCAGCCCAACGACTGGCGCGCGTAAGCGGCCCGACCGTAGCAGGCACGTGCTGCTTCAAACCCCCGAAGAACTTCCGCCATTCGCTGACCCTGGCTTGCGACAAACATGTGAGTCTCTTATGTTCATGGATCCTGTATGAACTATTCGCCCGTGCCACGCTCGCTCGCTGGCGTGGATCTTGTCAAACCGAGCTGACGATTGTACTTCTCGCTGCAGGTTCCCTCGGTGGTCGTCGCCGTCCGGTTTCGAGTTCGATCCCGCGGGCACATGGCTCGATCTTGTTCTCACTTCTCCGCTGCGCGAGCGCGTCGATGTCGGGATGATCCTCTGCGACAGAGTCGTCTGTGGCCCTCGGAACAGCTAGCCCTACAATTGCTTCGCTCACGACGTCACCTGCACACCGTTGCTGCTCCTGACCGGCGAGATCAAGCCGCTCGTCGGCGCGCAGGTTCCGAGCAGGACGGGCGATCAGGTCTCTGCCGAGCGCAACATCCTCCGTTGCTCGGCCATCAGAGCTCGGGACACCGGGTGGCTCGAGGGCGAAGACGGCCTCTTCGACCAGGTGAGCCCTCCTTCTTCTGATCTAGTAAATTCCTCGCGCTTGACTGACTTTTCGACGCTTCCTCTCGATTCCGACACCTCGTCTCAAGATGACGGACGACGACCTTTGCGCGACCTGGGACGGCATGGACAACGAGCTCCGCGACCGATCCGAGCAAGTTTATCTGTGGCGGGTTCAAGCGGACCGGGCAAAAGACGGGGACGGGTCCGTTCCGGTGCGTCTCTTTTTTGCAAGCCTCGCGTAGTCATCAGTCGCTAATATCTGACATCCCGTTCCGCAGCGACAAGGACATCCTCCGCAGCGATGAGGAGACCCTCCGCAGCGACGAGGACATCCTCAAGACGCTCACGAACGCGACCGAGTGGGTTGCGGGAGCTTTCAAGGCGCGCAGTGAGTTCTCAGAGGGTTCATTCTCTCAACCGTATCCCGCAAGATCCTGACGACAGTTCCTTCCCACAACAGGCATTCCCAAAGTCATGCGCATCATCGCGTGCGTCGCGATGGACGCTGGCCGCACCGAGTGGCGCTGCGCCTCGCTCAACGAGTATGTTCTTCCCTCCTTCTGTGGCTCGGACTTTGGTCAGAGCAGCATGACTGACCGCGACACACTCTGTCCGCCGACAGGTTCCGCGAGATGCTTGGGCTCTCTATACGTACAACAGCTGCGAGGAACGGAACCCGAGCCCGGGAATCGCCAACACGGCTCGCCACCTCGACAAGGACGTCGAGAACCTCGAGCTTTACCCGCGCTTGATGCGCGAGGAGTCGAAAGCCCCGCTTCTGGAACTTGCTCCGCGATATGAACCACCTCGCGCGCGATCCCGAGTGACGCCGCCGCTTCGTGAGTCTCCCCCTCCATTCCTAGCGACCATCTCTTCCTTGTAGTGACTCTCCTCCCACGGAAAGCTCACCTACGAGGCGACTGCCGGCAGCCTCACCTCGTGTCACCGTCACGACTCGCAGCCCGACTACGAGAACGGCGCGTTCAGCGGCCAGATCGGCAAGCTCCTCATGCGCCACTTCTTCCCCAAGGCCTACACGTACCACAACAGCGTCTAGTCGGTTCACGACGCCGGCGGTCAACAGGCAGCTCTTGACCGAGCTCGGCATCGCCGACAAGTACGACTTTACGCCTCCCCGGGGTCGTACAAGGGGGGCCGAGAGGGTCTTGACCGACTCGGAGTTGTTCTTCGACGTCTACGGTCCCCGCCCTCGCCGAGATGACGCGCGAGTCACGGATCCGGCCTCCTCGACTACCTCTGACTGATGAAGTCGCCCAAGTCGTCCGAGAGCTTCAGCAAGGTCATCGGCGACACGTTCTGCTCGGGGCTGATGGCGACCTCGCCAAGCTGGTCAAGAAGCACCTCGGCGCGACGGCCTTCCAAGACTGCTCGCCACACGGTCGACATTGTCGCCGACGTGATCGTGCCGGTCGTGACCGAGGTTCATCGCGGACAAGTTTGGCATCCCGCTCAAGTTGGAGGACAACCCGCTCGGGCGGTTCACCTTGAAGCAGCTCTACGAGGCGCACACCGAGTGCTGGGCCTACCTCAAGTGAGTCTCCTTCTCTTCTTTAAAGCTGAAGTTTTCCTGATACCCGAGTGTGTTGGACACAAGGTTCAGCCCGAGTTGAGGAGGCGGCAGGTGGACCACCCGCCCGTGCCGACGACGCTCGCTTTTAACGCCGCGACCATCGCCGTCTTTATGCGCGCCTTGCGTGCTCAGTGAGTTTATCCCTCCGCCAGAACAAACTTCCCCGAGTTGACGAACGCTAACCGTACACACGCCCGCGCAGTCACGATCTCTCCACCGGCGGCGACGTCGAGCTCTTCGAGGAGGTTCGCCTCGATCCCTTGCAACTCTGCCTCTGAGGAACTTCTCGTCGAAGAACCCCGACTCGGAGCCCGGCATGGCCGCGACCGCCGGCTCGCCCGAGATCGAGGCCGAGCGCAAGCGGAGGTACGGGCAGGAGATTTCGGTCGACAAGGTCGTGACCGCTTTGCGCCAGGCAAAGAGCCACTGGTCTTTGCGCGAGCTAGCAAGCGAAACCCTCACCCGTCGGGGGCGTCGGTCCGTTGGTCATCGGCTTCCGGAGCAAAGCGAGAGCAGTTGCAAGCAAAAGACTTTGTAGAGAAGCTGTCGGCGAGAGCAAGGGAGAAGTCGTCCGAGTCCGAATCGGAGTCACAAGGAGAGCAGGAAATCCCGTTGTGACGCCGCTGCGTCATGTCTCTCCTCTTCTCCCTCTGACACTCACGCCTCGAACAGTGCGCGGATCTGTCATGTGAGTTGGGTTACGCTTCTCTTGCATGCGGCTACTTCGAAGATCCGGACTAGGCCGAGTCCACCTCGCCTTGAGCGGAAACCGAGCCGTGGCTGGATCGCGCCTGACGAAGGCTCCTCCCATCACCTCGCTCTGGACTCGACAGAAACGACAACGATCAGGTTCGCAAAGCTCGGACCGAACCTGCTCCAAGCCGTCCGAAGCGCTGCGCGATGTGGTGCGACTTGAACTCGCGGCTTCCGTCCTTGCGACTGTGGCTCTCGACTTTTCGACCGCGGCACCGCTTGCGCATGGCCCGCGCACCTGGGACGAGCTCTCGCTTCCTCAGAATCGTGCCCTCGTGGCCCCGTCAGCCGGGTCCGAGGGTCGGGAGAGGCGACTCGCAGTCGCCCGTGGTGCTGGCGGAAACTTGTGCAACTGCGGCTCTCGACTCTCCGACTCTCGAGCCACCACTCACGAGCCGACTCTCGAGCCACCACTCACGGCACGAGCGCGTCGAGCGCGTCCGATAAAATGTACTATGACGCAAGCACATCAGGGTACTCTACCGGAGCCGCGGGCTGCCACGCCAAGCTCGGGCGGACTCTGGTGCGGAAAACGGTAATAATTCTACCAGATCCCTTTTCTCCCGCAAACTTGATACGCTCATGGCAACCACATTGATCTCAGAGAGCAAGGTCTCCTCCGGCCAGTAGACTCGCCGAGATATGCAAGCAGAAAGTTCAGCTGCGACGCCATCACGCATTCAGCTAAAACGGGTTGGACCACGTGAGCACCTCTCAGCGAGCTAGCGAGCACGGGAGCGTTAGTGAGCGACTTGTGTAATCCTGATAGAAAGACTACACATAGCGAGCACGGGGGTGTGTAAGTGAGCGACTTGTGCACTGGTCAGCTAAGACTTGGCTCGAAGCAATAAAAAAAGAGAAAAGCCTCCGGCGGGGGTCGAACCCGCGATCATCTGCTAACATAGCAACTAGAAGGCAGATACCTTAACCACTAGGCCACGGGGGCACAGCTCCGGGCCTAGTGGTAGAAAGTCGGGCGCCCGGCGGGCGTCGAACCCGCGATCCTCTGTTATCGAGCACTCGTAAACCTTAACCACTAGGCCACAGGGGCACCGATTTCACAGTTTTTGAGTTTGCGGTATATAATCCCGGGAAACGTCCACCGAACCAACTCCGAAAGAAGCAGCAACACGGAAGCTACGAACTCTTCCACCCTTGACCGAGTCGCCGGAGCGAGCGTGCTGTGACTAGTCACACAGTTCAGCAAGCAGTATGGTCGCATCTGGCACACATCCGGCTTGCCTTGCACGCCCACGGTCAGGGTCATCAAGAAGAGAAGGTCAAACACGTTGCTCTCCAGATCTCCAGATCGAAGACCGTGTACGGCAGTCACCTGGACTCTTTGTGGGTGGCCACTCTATACTTCTCAACTGTCATTGTCTTCAAGAACTGACCAAGGCTGCATGCGGATCCGTCCAGGTCGAGTAAGGTCACCTCCTCGTCTCATCACCCGCTCCACTGCCTTCCGGAATGTGGCCCTTCCCGTCCTTCCCTCGCCAGCATGCTTGCCGTCGATGATGCAGGGTGAGTCTGCCTCCCTCCTCTCTCGACAGACTTGCCGCACTGACATCCTCAGAGTGGACAGCAGGAGACACAAGCGACCCAACTGAGTCAACAGCCGAATCAACAATGGCAGTCTAGAGGGGAGTCGACGGAAAGGGGGATGTTGGTTAAATTGCCCCTTTCCGTCGCAGCTTTGGTCTCGCGCCAAGCGCGCTGCGTCGGAGTCGCAGACGCTTCGCCGTTCAAGCGACTCGAAACCACGCACAGGCTCTCAAATCCACTCGTTACCGTACCGGTGAGCTCTCCTGATCCTCTAGTGCTGTCCCGCGCGCGTTTACTTGCCTCCAGACAAGTTCACTGAGACCTGCGCCTGCTCCCTCTGACAGCCTCGACACGCGCCGGACTGCACCCTCAAGCCGCCTACCTGCTACTATTGCACCCCTCAGAGGGCTCTGCTCGACTCGGCCCCGCTCCGCCTCGCCGCGCTCCGCTCCACCTCGCCTTGCGCCACCTCGCTCAACCTCTCAAGCCTCGCGCAACTCTCTCGACAACGGCAAGCAGAGGGGACATGTGGCTTTACCGCGACGTCCAGTGGCAGTACACAGGCCCGAAGCTAGCAACGGGTGAGCTTGCGCCGCGCGTCAGTTCCGGCCCGATCTACGCTGACTCGCTGCATCCTTTCGTGGAACCGCTCGCCCAACACAGCGTCGGCGTGAGTTGCCCCTCGACGGAATCGCTCGTCGCCAACAGTCATTGACCAAGCATTCTTGCCACGCTTGCAGCTCGTTCGTACGGATGCAACTCGGGTCATGCTGTACAAGTCGGCGATCGATCCCATCCCGTGAGTTGCGCGAACGCGGCGCCTTTCGAGTCGTTGTGCATTCTGCTGACCTTCTTGTGTGGCATCAGCTCGTACATATTTGACTGTCGTGGCGTGGACGGAATTTTACCGCTCAATCAGGCGTTCCGGTTGCCCAAGTACACCCTCACGTGCGTGTACTCTTTCGCCCACCTCCCGGTGTTATTCGCTGTGCTGACCACCGCCGACGCCGCCCGCACCAGTTTACTCGCGCACCAGTCGTCGAAGCCGTCACTCCCTCGACGCCCCTGACCCCGCAACCGCTGGACCCGGTTGTTCCTGCTTCGAGCTCTCTCGCCGGCGGCTCGCAGCCAGCCAACGCTGCCTCCTCGACCGCAAACTCGGCTCCGAGACGCGCAGCTTCAACGCTGTCGATCGGTCTCCCGCCGAGCTCGCCACCTCGCTCGACAGCGCCAAAATTGGTCAAGTCCAAGCGCAGCAAGCCAGCAGCGGGGGTGAACGGAGAGGAAGCAAAACGGTCCAAATGCCGCAAGCTCAACACCGACGAGGTGCCGGTTGCCTCGACGAGTGGCGCTCCCATCGCTGCGACACCCGCCACATCCACGAGCGCCGCGCCGACGCCTGTCCCGAGGAAGAAGCGCCGCAAGGCAGCCTCCACGACACTGCCAGTAGCGTCGACGAGCACCGGTCCCATCCCGTCGACGAGTGCCGCTTTCAGCTCAGTCCGCGTCAACCCGCTTACGGTCAAGGAGCAGGAAGCGCGGCGGAAGAATGACGAGGTCCTGCAGCAGTGGATTGCCGAGTGGGTCTCGCGCGCCGAAACTTGGCGCGAACGCGAGCAGCCGCTCACGATGGCGGGCGCGGTCAACGGAGAGGCGGAGGAGACGGAAAATCGCTTGTTCGAGTTGATCAATGGGCGTATCCGAGAACGCGTGCGCTACGGACCACCCCTCGACTCGGACTCGCCCGCTCGACGCCACATAGCCGATCATCCTGCAACAGTCGAGGTGCTCGCGCGACTCGCCGTCGACTCGTTCCTACCCCCGCCGCTTGACAGCCCCGCCCTCCGCCGGGTCGACTATGACCCGTTCATCTCGAAAGAGGACGGACCCGTTCTCGAACTGACCGAATGCGAGGCCAACTCGCTCGGCGTCGACAACGACGCAGCGCAGTACTACCTGCGCTCGCTCGTCTTCCCCGACGTCGTCACGCTCCGGACTTTCCTCTCCGCCTACCAGGAAAACTTCGGAGACCACGGCTGGACCGCGGCAACCTTGCGCTCGCTCGAGCTTTCCGGACTCAGGGACGAGGATCCTGCCTCGCTCCACTATGCCGGGCTCACGATCCGGAGCAGTCCAGGCGGTCGCGCCATTGCCGACGGGCAAAAACCTGCCGCCGCGTCGAGGTGCATCAACCTTCTCCGCCTCACGCGCGAGTTGCAAGCGGCGCAGCAACAAGCCGCCGACGTCGACAACGGCTCGGTCACGGAGCCGAAGCCCGACTACTCGACCCTCGAGCTGATTGTGCACGAGTTCCACGAGCTGCGCCTTCCTGCCTCGGCCGCTACGGACGCCAATCAGCCCATCATCAGCGATACTGAAGTCGCCATCATCGCGGCCATCAAGACGGCCGCGTTCAACTCGGCAGACGGCGGCCGTCTCCTCCGCCTCGACCCCTCCGCCGTCGCCGACTTTGCCGGCCTCGTCGCCGGTGCCGGTGCAACTCGCGCGGCGCTCGATTTGCTTGCCCCACTCGATCCGGCCCGTGATCCAGCAACAGACAACTTGATGCTCACGATCAAGCGAGCCCTCGATGACTCCCTCTTGTACTATGCCAATCACGAGGAGATCAGGCCTCCCTTGATCCTCGACTTGAAGTCCAAAGGAGGTCGCCGCGCCTATAATGATATTTATGCCAACATGTCGGCTATGCGCACGAGGCTTCAAGGCCGCGGTTTCCGTGCCTTCGAATTCTTGATGACGAAGGATATTACGGCTTCGTCTCTTGAAGGGAGAAAGCTTTTCTCATCGGCAAGCGTTGCAGCGCGTGGCCCAGCTGCCGGTCAGCTCCTCGAGCGAGTCGTTCAAGGTCTTTCGCCCCAGACAGACGATGACGTCTGGCGCGACCTCACCCCTTCCGCCGACCTGTGGGCCCTCATCCTCATTCACTGGCTCCTCCTCCTCGCAATCCTCTTTGCAATCCGCGTCCTCCATCTCGCCCAACCACTCCTGCTTGTCACCCACGCCGGCGTGATCAACAACTATATCCGGCAGAACTACTTCCGCGACCTGCTCAACCCGGACGCCGACAATCTGGAATCGTTCCTGGACGCCGAGACACCGACGGACCCGGCACTCGTCGAGTCGATACGCTCGAGCGAGTTTGTCCTGCCGGAGCAGCGCAATGCCAAAGGGGGCGGGTGGTTTATGCATGTCGGGTCAACAGCCGTGGTGCGCTATGGCCCGCTCGGCCAGCACAGCGCGCTGCACTTGGCCCAGCTCGACCCCGGGGTCCTAAAGTACAACCCGATCGTGCAAGACGAAGCGGTCGCTCTCTTTGCCGCCGCCGCCGCCAAGACGGCCCTCTGCCGCCGAGTTCTTGCCGTCCAACTCGTCCGCAGCGAGGGCGTTGTGCCGGAGGAGGAGTCGCAGCGACTCGAGTTTTTGCGCCGTGCGAGGAAAGAGGCGGAGTGTCTTTCGATCGAGTGCGGTCTCGAAGATCGACTCGTCGCGGCTCGTCAAGTGCTGAGCGACCGCTTCACCACGATCAACTCTCACCGAGCGCTGGCCGCGAACCAACGTCGCATCGAAGGCGACCTCGAGGACGAGGTCAGGCGGCGGTCCGAGGCGGCGCTCAAGGGCGTCGAGAACCGCTCGGAGAGGCCAACCTTCGTCGGCCAACCTCTCGCCAATGGCGACCTCGTCAAGCTCGACCCCCTCTTCGTCGACGACGCAATCAACTCGACCAGTCTCCCCAGCAGCAACTGCCCTTGCCTCGCCGCGCTCAAGTCGATCATCGCTCGACACGAGGAAGCGCTCGTTGACGGTGTGATCTCGCCCGCGCCGGAGATCGCCTTCGGACCGGTCGCCTCTCGCGCATACTGTCACTGGTTCTTGAGCGCGCCTGAGGGTGCTGAACTCGCACGCTCGGCGGCTCAGGTCGGGTTCCCCGAAAAGCGGGTCTGGACGGACGACCACCGCGAAGCGTACCTCGCGACCCGTACGGCGATGGAGGACGCGAAACGAGCCGTACGTGGCCTGCAGCTGCAGGGACAGCTGACCGTTGTCGAAGCGCTTGCAAAACTGCGCGAGGACCGGGCGGCCACCACCACCAAGACGACGGGTCGCGGGAGTCGGAAGGACGTCTTCCTTGTGACTTGCTGCAAATGCAAGGAGGTGTTTCTCGACGTCAACTTTGGACTCAAGTCGACCAACCACCCCTGCGGTGACGACAAGTTCGTCCGGGTCCCGATCCTCTTCTTCTCCAGCCTGTCACTCATCCTCGACGAGTCGCTGCTCGAACTCGAGGACAAGAACTTGCTGACATACAAAGCCGTCACGGCGCGCTTGCTCAATCCCACGTCGGTCTTGTTGGGCTTGCCCTTTGACCCGTCCGCCAACCCAACGCTGCACATCCCGGTTGGCACCAAGTCCAAGTACCTTTTGCCGCTCGCCATCGACGCGCTCTTGATTGCCTCCCGCTCGTCGTCATCGTCAGTGGCGTCGGAC